GTAGTGATTCGCCTATGTGCTTCTTCTAAATAGGCCAACTCATCGCCTGCAAATGACTTTAGAGTGTGGTCCTCTGAAAACAGCTCCTTACGTTTGCTATCGATCAATGACCGTAAATCAGACGCACTGTTCAAAGTGTCATTTACAGTGCTCAAGCAAGACTCGCACTTTGCAACGTCACTGCTGTTGCAGCTGTTTGTGCCTGAAATGAACTTTTTAATATTTTGGCACACTCCATATCTCTCATTCTTCAGTAAATTGTTCGCTTTGTTTGACAGCTCCTCTATCTTCTTATTTAGCGCCCATCGCGTTTGCTGTTGCTCAAGCAGGTAGTTCCTGAACCCAGATTGCTGGTGACGAAACGCAGACTCGTAAATTTGTTGGACAATGCTGTTAAAAAACCGCAGTTTCTTGGAGTGTGCGTTTGGCAGAAGATATTTTTGCCAGGGCTCTACATCTGATACTGCCGATTCATTTCTTAAAACTTGAAGCTGCCCAGATCGGCCGAATGACAGAATTGCCATCTTTCGTTTCTTGGGAGCAACAGGGGGTGTATCACCTACAGGTCAATAACACCAAATTGTTATTCAAACAAATATGTATTCATAGCCTTGACAGAAACGCAATTACGACGGCCATGGTAAAATTTGTTATAATTCAAATGTATTTGCTTGTTTCTCTCTCTCTCTCTCTCTCTCCGAAATACATTTTCGATAAAAACCGCCGGGTATGGTGTGAGATAAGGCAGCAAAATGACTGCTGCGTAAGCATAAAATAATCATAACCTGGCATTCAAGCATCAACTTCGCATTGATCTATTCAAATTACCTTCAGTGCAGGAATCTTCCTTGCTCGTTTCGCTCTGTACTTCACCGAAGACGCGCTTGAGACGGCGAATTTCTATCTCAGTTAATCCAATGTCCTTCTCAAGATTTGCGTCATCAACATCCACGAAATGCTTGACCTTTGTAACACCTAACTGCTTGAAACTTTCAGCGTGATTATCCAGGTCAGCCCGGTTTAAAACATATTCGATTCCCTTATCCATAATTCTTAGAGTATCGAAGTAGCAGCAACTTGGCCGTAAGTCTGTACGTAAACACGACGTTTTACGCACGAGAGAGCACAATTATTTGACTGATTCGTGCCTATTATAAAAATGGCAATTTCACGTGTGATAATTTGTCACTTAATAAGTTAATATGTAGTAAAAGGATTGCGGATTGGAGTCCTGTGTCCAGGCAGAGTTTACTGTTCATTGGCATATAGCAAGTTCGTTTTAGTTGTTGTATTCGTTCAAGTGCTTTAACCATACTCGTATACATGTAATTTTGATCGCGGTTTGACAACAAGGGCAGAGGGTATGGCAGACCAGTCTACCTCGCTAGACGAGAAAGACGACGTAGAGTTACAAGTTGGGGGTGATTCAAGTAACACGAGACGAGCTCACAACGAGAGGCGAAGTGAACGAAGAGGAAATACCACGCGTCTCGTTTCAGAGATCAACAATGAGGTAAAGTTTTGAATTAATTTGAGATAGTTTCTTGCCTGGTAGTTCTGGCCTTTGAGGTGCTCCGCGATTGGTTTGAGCATGCATTTCTTTCTAAATAAATATCGCCTGGAAAATATAGCACTAAGAGCTCAAATTGCGCTTAGAAAATTGGCAGTTTGTTTGCAGAGACCTACATTGTAGCACAGACCAATGATATTGCAAGAGTCCTAGCTATCAGTTCTTAAAATCCCCTATTAAACTATGTGTTTAAACTGTTCCTCGTGCCAGGGCCATATCTGTTTTACGTTTTCAATCTCGAAAGTAAAACTGCCCCTGGGTTTTCGAGGATGATTGTTGGTTCCTCGGGGGTCACCACGTGTAAGTCGCCGTTTTATTCTAATTCCTGCTAATTTTACACAGCTTACGTATATTATCATAACGAAACTACAAAACAAAATACAATCGACATTTATTTAATACTCAAGGATGTATCGCGGGCAGGTGGTGTGCGTTACGAGATTTGACCAATAGCAAGCCGTCGGTTAAACAATAGTCGTTAAACAAGCCGTCGGGTAAACAATAGTCCTCGCGGCAAACTAGAAAGAATTTCAGCGCGTGGAGTTGAAAACATTGTTCCTTTTCAAGGATTTCGGCCATGGCAATTAAAATTTTTTCAGGCAGAATTAAAGGGAAACATTCCTTTTTTCTCAAAGGTACGATTTAATATTACATTTGAGCTCAATGACTGCTTTAGCTGATCTCAAAGTAAACCTACTCGGGTGAGTTGACACGTTATCGTAAACTGAACTTTCACACCTTTTCTTAGACTTCTCATTACTTTACACCGTTGGTTTTCATCCATACTTTAGGACGTACAGTTAATTAAGCCTTTAGTCTTTTAGAACTTTTGGGTCTACTCGGGTCTACCCTTTTAGTTTTCTTTGTTGAGGCCGTTCAAAACTGATAGCTTCACTATAAACTTGCCCAGGTCACCTGGTGAGTAACATCAATTTTCTGAGCTCACGCGGTTGTCACGCGCGTCCTTTATCATCTTTTTGTTTGATCTTTTTTCGGCCTATTTTTCTTCAATTACAGTTAAAGGAACAAAAAATTCAAACTTTCAAGGATTTTGACGTTGAGAGTGACATTTTTTATTTTGGCGTTTGCAGAGTTTGGTCTGTAGAGCACGTGGAAAGGTGCATGCGTGATTTATGGTCTAGCGACATTTGACCCGTTTGAAAATTTGATCTTTACGGCTGTTTTGTTTATTAACGTATTGCATTTGCATGTTTCGATTCAAATCGGAAAAGTGTCTGCGAAAGAGAAAGACCGGCCTTTACAAAGTCTTTTTGCGTTTGTAGACTTTATCTTTGATAACTTTACCAAAGAAAGGGCACTAGATTTAAATTCAGGCTAAATACCGCAAACGCGGGAGATGTTCACTCCGTCTAGACAAAGGAAAAAATGAGCTGCTCGACAAATTAATCCATGAGGAATTGAAACTCGTGACGCACACCGCCTGGATGTATCGTATGAAATGTTTATATGTTGTAGACACGTGCATGTTCGATCAATCCAAACGCGCGTTCTGCTTGTATAAACCATGGCTTTTCTGACATCATTCGTAACTGCCATTTCGCTAGTCGGTTAACCCCATCGAGACTGCCAACCGAGTCAATGAAAAATAAAGCATTGTAAGTAGAGAGGCTTGCTTAATATTTGGAAGGGAAAAGAGAAAATCGTAAAATGAAACCAATTAAAAAGGTTCGCTAATAATATTCGAGAGGGGGGGTTCTGATTTAAAGGGAAATCAATGAGCAGCTCGTTTCTAAGATTCCGCTTTGACCAACTGTAGGGAAAGAAGAAAATCGAGATCGTAAATTCTCTACAACTATGCCCCTTGGAGCAGAATAAAAGCATAATCGAGAATGAACTATTGAGAGCAAGTTCTGAACGGAGCAAGAACAGGTTGCAAGGTTTACTGTATGTTTTAGACCAACTTTTTCTTCCAGTAAAAGATTTCAGTGGAATTTTAAGGACAAAGTCTTCGATGCCTTTTAATGAAGCACTTGAGTACTTCCTTGCATTCCAACCTCATCACTCTGGGGTACCTACAAAATATCAAAGAGGTGTCTTTCGCGAGGCTTTGTTACATGAGAAACATGGACTGAGAATAAATATCATTCGAATAAGCGAGAGATCAGAATATGTTGCCCTTCGTCCAGAAAATGTAGACTTAGAGCCATTATTGCTGCATGTTTTTAATGACATTAACGACAACAGTAAAATCGGTGATGGTGCACTGGTACTCGACAAGGAGACCCTTCAGGGCATTGTGTCTACTATGGACTCCGAGTGGGACAAAGTATGCCTTAGAGTCGTATTACGGTCAATATACTCCAGGGACGAAATGCAAGGCCTTGGTTTTGATCCTGATAACCTTCCCTCTATGACTGAAAGAGTTAAATTTGTAGCGGAAGAGGTTAAAAATGCTGATGAGGCAGCAGTTGATCTAGTAAGGTTGCGCTTAACCTCTAAGAAGGAAATTCTCGAGAAGAAAATAAGCGAGAAAGAACGCCTTTATGAGAAGAAAAGACATGTGTGGTCTACCAACACTGTCGAAGAAATACTTAGTGATATCCAAGAGCTCAAAGAAAAAGTCCAAGACGTACATAATCTACTCTTCTGCAAGCCTACTGACACCTGCTATCAGAGGAAACGTCAAATGCTAAAGCGCCAAGCTTCCAGTCTCATCGAAAGCAACAGGCTTAAGAGAAGAAAGCTGTCTAGCCAAGGCCCTAAGTTGAGGCTAGATGGGGATGATGAAGATTTTATAGCAAAGGCAATAGAAGACAAAGCAAGCTATCACGGCAGACGGCACGATACAGTTCTGTACACCGGCCAGAGAGTGAAGAAGAAGAACCTGCTTACCATTGCCAACTATCGGCTTGCACAGCGTGGGAAGAAGTTAATACGTTCAGCTACAACAGTGTACAACAGGGCGAGACCGCGAAACAAAAGAAGCGTGCAAGCGAAGCGACATACTGGAAAGGGTCTTTTCTGCTGGAAAAAACCACCCAAAGGCGAGGAAAAGAGTAATGAAAACACCCATTACCAAAGAGCCCACGTTAAGAACATAAAGATGCGATTTTGGGGTGCTAGAAATGCTGAGAGTACAAAGTTTTGCTTCATGAGAAGCATGGACGACAAAGCTTACCTCCGACCTGGGACTTCGGAGGGTTTTGAGAAAGCACGAAATCTAAGGATCTTGACACTTACAGATGAAGAAAAAGCGAGAAAGTTGCCAAAGTATGATTGGCCGGAAAAGATGGTCTATGTGACTCCCGGATCACATCGTATTTTCACTAAGTCTAGCGTCATGGCCGACAATGATGAGAAGCTTGTAACTGAGGATGATCGGCACCACGTGATCGTTCGGCCGAAGGCAATAGTTGGATCTTCAGGGAGTGTCTGGGCAAGCGAAACAATTCGCTTGCGACACGAGGATCCAGCAGCTTTTGAAGTTGAAAATACAGAAACAAACGCTGAATATTCTCTTGGATTTCGCAAATGCTGCGCTAGATTGCACGATGACCTATTTTTGTACTATGACATGACAGAGTCGGACGACTTAAACAAAATTACCGAAGAGCATAACTGTAAGTTTTACGCCTATGAAAAGCAAAGAGCAGGTCATCTAAAACTAAGGCTGGAAAAAATCCTGCAGTTGTCAGAGGTAACAGAAATGTCTGAGCACAATAAGTCCCTGCTTGCCTGTCGTGTGATTCCGACCATCAAAGATATTTTAAATGCTATTGACGAGGTAGCAAACAGTGATGCTCCAGTTGACACCGCAGAATCTAGAGTTCAATCTGTTTTGAGAGTGAGCCGTCCTTGCAAACAGGGTCTCGAAATAGTTAGTGATCTCTGCTTGCCACCCGTGAAGCCAAGATGGGCAGATTTGACGGATGCCGGACCTGGCGTTGGCGTTTCTAACTATGAAGTTCGCTTTCGCGACGCTGAGTTGGCGCGAATCCACAACTCGGATTATAGAGTACGATGCCATCGCTCGAGAGGTGACAGCGGGCAAGGCGAGGCCGAGCGCACAAACTCGGCCATTTCAGACGCTCTTGTTGACGGTGCAACGCTGGAATGGGAGAAGTACGGTCGATTCGAAGATCTCTCTGAAGACGAAATCAAAGCCATGTCTCTCCATTCCTAAGAACAGTACGAAAAAGAGCGTATGGAAAAAAATGCTTGGCACGTTTGCAAGCAGGTCGCCGAAAGGATAGACGACGCCCCTGTCCTGAAGGATTACATCAGTAGTAGAGTGAGTGAGTCTCCCGAAGTGTTATTCTTTTTTAATGCCTCTGAGTTAAATACGTACCGAAATGCTTCAGAAAACAGTAAGGCCGAAATACCCGGTGCGGCATATCTAAGTAAAATAGAGAGTTTTATTGAGGACCACTACGTCCGAGGAGAGCTCTTTTTTGAATTTTGTCGGGATGCCTGCAATAAGCAAAGCGATGCAAGCTCCACACTCTGTTCCTGGTGTACCAACAACAGATGGGTGGGACCAGTAACAGAAAGAATCCCTCAGCCTGTGC